GCACCCAGTGCTTAAATATTGGAAATCTAAAGAGTAATTATAAATACCCGAGTGTTTATCTTTCCATTTGTAAAAGATGTGGAAATTGTTCATTTGATTAATCTTTGAGGCATTAAAAATATAAATACTGCACTTTAACTTAGTAAGATAATCAAGGAATATAAAATACGTTATAATTTCTTGGATTCTTTTATTAAGAAAAAGATTTTAACAAAATTTACATGTGTAATTTGGTTAATACTGTATATTTGTTGTTCTGCATCTTTTTGACGCCATCTTGTATAAACCATGTAAACTGTTCATTTGTTTTACCGAGGTAAACCGGATTGAAATTTAAACCAGTTTGAAAAACTAGTTTCAAACCTTAAACCAAAACCCAAACCAGTTTATGTGCAACAAATTCGCCCTTAGATTTTAATACAGACATTAAATCAATATGATTTTTTTAGGAATGTGTTAAATTATTCTCAAGTGATCAAACAGGACTGGATGTCTACTGTGTTGTGAGATTGTTTTAAAGCTCCCCGCTGAAGCATACAATGTACCTGCATATGGATAGAGAAAAAAATGCAAAGGTGACAGTTTTTTTTTGGTATGACCATTATCCATGAATTAAATACGTAACTATCCTCAAACTGAGATTTCTACTAAATCCACAAAAATTGATGCTCAAGAATATTAATGAAATTACAGTAATGGATGTTTTGGAGGCAAACAGTGTTGTATAAAGCAAGGGTATAAGCAATAAGGGTTTTATGTAGAGCTTAGAGTAGTTGTATTTATACCTGCTGTATGATATGATATCTGCAAAGGAGTATATATGGTAAGAGCCAATTTTGGCCCCCTAAAAATCAACATTTTAGAATGACATTCAGATATGTTTAATTGATATTTATTTTGAAGAAGAGATTATATTAGAAGTATTTCTAATATATTTTTCACATTTATATGCACTCTCTCTAGCTGTAAATGACATGAGAAATGATGCTATTTTTGCTATCTAACAAAAAAAACCCAAAAATATGCCCTTTTCTTGATGTTTTTTCTTATGGGAAACATAGAGCGCAGTGTAGAACATGAATAATTTTTCTGTCACTTATCAGTATTGGATAGCTACATCTTTGGTAAAAATATAAATCTTGTTCTAGGCCGCGCTCTATATTTTCTGGAAGAAAAACTGCTTGAAAATAACCAGTTTTATACCAAAAAACTAAAATGGCGGGAAATTTGATTTTTATGATGTCATACTTCTAAAATAACGGCGTTTTGATCAAAATGAAAATGACCAATAAAGGTCGCATATATAGCTGTACAAGTCAAAGCTATATATAAAGTAAAATTAAGATACTCATTTTAAGGGGCCAATTGAGACACTTACCATATATCGCTCTTTAAATATGATTTGTTTTTATATTTAAAGAGGTAAGTGACATATAAAGCAAAAACATTTATAATAATGACTCATGTATGATATTTTTATTGAAAAAATTGAACAACTTTGTTTAGATCTTAAACTACATGATGCTAACTTTGTTAAGGTGATTAGGTTTAGGTTAATTATTAGCTGAGAAGGTTAAGGTCTTAGACTAGCCAACTTTATATTTAATGCACCTTGATCGATAGATCCAGGGCATTAATTGTTTCTGTCCTGTCTGGGTCTGTCTATTTTTGTCTGCAAATTTTAACCTTTGTCATAAGTTTTGAATCATCAAAGACATAGTCTTCATATTTGGTGTACATACTCCACTAATGAAGCTGTTTTAAATGACACCAAGGTCAATGACCTTGTGCCCTTTACCGTGACCTTTATGCTAAAAGAGTTTTTTTCCTGCAAACTTTAACCTTTGCTGTAACTTTTGAACCATGAAATTAAGAGACCTCATATTTAGTAAACTTTCTCTACTAATTAAGCTCTTTTCAACGATACAAATGTCAATGAATTTGTGGCCTTCACTCTGGTCTATATGCTAAAAATAGCTTGTTTTCAAATTTTAACCATCATCATAACTTTTGAACCATGAAAGGTAGACTTTATATTTGGTATGTCTACTTCACTTACATCCCCTGAAGGAGTTTTTTATGCAGTGTGTTTTCGTGAATTTAAAAGTATGATTTGTTGGTTCGTTGTTTAGAATCCTTCTTGAGAATCTAAAGAATTTTCACTTATATTGGGATGTCATGCTTTGCAGGAAGAGACATGCAAATTTGTTCTCTGCTAGGCACGCAGGGCCATCAAGCATTCATGGATCTTTTTTATGTGAGCTCATTCTGTGACATGGAACTTTTTTTTAATACGGTCCCATCCGAAGGACTTGTCTCTGTGTCCCACTATGGGATTCGAACCCATGGAGTAAGGATTAGCTTGGAGTCCTTACTCTGCAAGATATCATTATTCAGAAAGTTTTCGCATTAAAAGTGAGGAAAGGTCCAAATATTATATACAGATCCTTAAGGCGTATTTCCCTTGCTTTGTACATGCCTTTGGAGTGACATAAACTTTGTTCAAAACCATGTATTTATAGATGAGTGAAGAAATCTTGGTAAACATTTATTTTTCAGACACACAGCATCAGGATTTTGCTATGTCAATGACACTGTTCTTACCATCTTAAAATTGAGAGAGAAGTTTGAGTTCTATTGAGTTCTATACATTGACCTAGATGTGCATCATGGAGATGGTTAGTGTTAAATTCACTTATTCTGATTCTCTCTGAATTTTCATAGTCTACATATAGAAATAACAATTGGGGAAACGATCCAGAATACATGATATTTTTATCACATTTTGAAAGATTCCTCTCAGTTGTTTTTATGAAACATTCATCTAAAAAGTAAAATTTATATATATTTATCAAACATTCAACGCTGATGGTAAGTATACTGTAATTTTAAAAATTCTTTATTAATCCCTGCGGATATCATTTCTATCCATACTTACTATTGTTTGTTGGCTCTTTTGACTTTTCACGATGTTTTTCGTAATAGGTGTGGATGAAGCATTTTTTACATCTTCCAGGGTGAAGACAGTATCAGTTCACAAACATTCCCCGGGTTTCTTCCCAGGTTTGTGTCATTTTACTGCCTCAAAATTTTACCTGCTAAGTCACAGAAATTTTTAGGAATGCTCAAGTTTCTCATTCAAATATGCAGTATTTCAATGAATATTTGATTTTAGACTGATTTAAATTCTATATTTATGAATATAAATACTGAAAAAAATATTCTCATACATCAGTGTATTATTTAACACCTGTTTAGAATCTTGAGGGTTAAATGACACAGGAGTGGGTAAAGGGAAGGGATACACTGTTAACATTCCACTTCTGGATAGCATGAGAAATGAAGAGTTTGTTCCTTTGGTCTGCAGGTAAAGATATAGAGTACCTAGCAATGAAATAATTTTTGTGTCATTGTAGTATACTGAACATTGCTTATTATGATAAGGTAGGTTTATCTTAGCAACAGCTTTTAGACGTAAATATAAGGTTTTGCTCACTTACGTTAATCAATTTGTCTGCTGCCTTTTATTCTATACATAAAAAATTATGATGACAGTCTAATTATGTTCAAATTTTGGTATATTCATTAATCATACTATCAGACATATATTGATATAAAAATGGTTCTCCGTGTTACCTGTATGTTTTGTTAGAGTGGTGGGGGTAGATATCCCTCTAACTCCATGCAGTGTGCAATAATTCTTATTTGATATAAATAGTACAGGAATCTAGTTATTTCTTTGACAGAGTCCTACACAAGGTCCAAGAAGTGATCGTCCCACCGGTCATGGCGTGTCTGTGTGGGGCTGATGGTCTCAGTGGGGACCCTATGGACTCCTTTAATCTTACTTACACAGCGTACAGCCGATGTCTACAGTTCTTAATACAGTGGAAGCTGCCAACTCTTGTATTAGGAAGAGGTGAGAATAAAACACACAGTGCTTACAATGAACACTGGAAGAAATTGTATATAAATGCAACAGAACTTGAACATGGATATCTTAAATACCATTGGTGTGTCAAAGTGATTTTGGAAATATCAATATTTTAAATGTTTTATTCTCAGTATCTCAAAATTTCACTGACAGATAACGTCGAAGTTTCTTCTATGTTTGACTCTGTAAACGAAAGGGAAAATCAGGCTACACTTTAAGATTGAAAACACAAGACTAAATGCAAAATATCTTTTTATCCCATGTTTACCCATTTATCCTGCGGATATAGCTCATTTGATATCGTTTTCATTCCCCACACTGAAGTGCAGTTATGACGTCACAATGGTTTTGCGTAGCATGATGTAAAATATAGCAGAGTACCGTATAAAAACAGTGTAAAGCATCGATTGTGAAGTATTAAACATGGAATAAAAAAAACTCCCATGATTTGTAATTGGATATGATTTTTATCCAACTCCTGTGTTTTTATTCAACTCCTGTGTTTTTAGGAGGTTACCACAATGCTAACACAGCCAGATGTTGGGCTCATCTAACTGCAGTCATTTGTGGACGGAAACTCCCTCAGGATGTCCCAGATCTTAAGGTAAGGCTTGACTTTGCTACTGCACTGAAACATGTTTTCAGTTGATATATTGAATTTTTCTGCATAAATTTATTTTTTGAAACAGAAAGAATCAGCTGAAAATTTAAGTAGATTTTAAAGTGGACGAAATAGTTTCAGTACAAACTGTGTAAGCAGATGAATATGATTTTTTCATCAAAGAAATGGAAATATCAGCCATATATATCATGAGAAGATATCAAGCCATGTTATCTTATTTAAAATAGAGAATGGTGCACAATGTAATTTTTATTCTTTCAAAATTAAAACATTTAGAAAATAAGAAATGTTATTTTTTTGGTTTCTAATATTTCTCATTTTAAAAGAAGTGATAAATAGGTAATTCAATTAGTCCTTAAAATTATCTTCATCTCAAATTTGAATTTATTGTTTAACTGTGTGTAGTGTGTAAATTTAATGAATGTACAGTATGACTTTGGACTGCATAGGATCACAATTCATTTAAACAGTCATCCAAAACATATATTTATCATTTATCTGGGACATGTTTTAATTAGGAGACTTAGAATTCTTCATTTCACTAATTTCAGTACTTTATGGCTTATGGTCCGGATTATGAACTACCTATTTCCTATGGAAACAGAAAGAATATGAACACGAAAGAGTCTCTAGAGAAAAAAATACAACACTGTTATAGGTAATTTTATACAATACATAAAAGATTCTCTACAGAAATTATACAGCTGTATTATAGGTAAATCTTAAGAAAATATACAATCATTATTGGAAGGTTTATAACATGTTTCAATATATATTCAATCACTGATGTTTGTAATATTATTTTTGATGTAGAAATAATCAAGGTCACATTACATTATTCATTAACAAAAGATAGTTATGGTATTTTTTCTCTCTTTTACATAAAATCTAAAACAACTTAAAGCCTCCTGATATTGGTGGAGAAACAATTAATGTTATTCACGAACACATGTCACATTGTTAAAATTAGTTCTGTTTGATAGAAACTAGCTTTGATGTGATATATGATGTGATTATAAGAAATATTTATATCAAATATTTACTGTACAATGTCAACAGTTTACAAAAGAAACAGATCTCTGAATTGGGAATTAGTCATCCATGTTAACAATATTTTTGGTTTCTTACATTAAGGGGGATGTACGGCCATATTTAGTGCAGTGAGAACAAAATGTAAACATTTCTTCAAATGGCTAAAGTACATTATATTTTGATCAAATTCTAAACCCTTATGATAAAGATACAATAAATATGCATAACTGAATGCATGTTGTGCATATATAATCTATACTTTTGCAGAAAAGTGCTTTTGATATGCTCCTAAGAACTGCGCAGCTACAGAATTCAGCAGAGCCTTAAAAAATCCAAAAAAATACGCAAAGTGTGCATTAATGTTCTCTCTACAACCATTTGTTGAGAAAATGTCTAAATTTTGCACTTTTAAATGATAATTTTAAGTTCAAAACAAGGTATCGTTGTCTTTAAAAAGAGTGTAAAGAACCCTGAAAGTAGTTCATTGATAGCAGCACGTGGTCTATTTTTAGCACAGAATTTTGTTTTCCAGACCTCTTCTTAATATGGAGGGACATAACAATCTTTAAATGTAGAAGAGAATTACAGTTGAAATAATATGAACACTTTTCAAAGAGGAATTGTGTTAAAGTGTGGCTTGAAGTAATTTATTTAGTATTATTATCAACCAGTTGTTAAATAGTGTACGTATTGAAATAAACTTTTTGATTCCAGGTAAGGAAAAATGAGCACCATCAAAGTTTAAAATTAAGAGTTTGTAAGTTTGCCACAGATGACTTATAATATCTATCAAAAGTTTAATTATCACCAATGAAACACAAAGAAATAAAACACATAAAATCGATATGAAAAACCTTGTATTAGTATCTACTAGTACGAGGGGTGATCGAACTATCTCTATATCTACAAAACCACAATTTAGATTAGAAACAAATATGGTACACACTCAAGTTCTATAAATTGCATATGCCGAATAAATTTTTGCTCACAATGTGAAAATAAAGTCATTATGCAGGTACTTGTGACGAAAAATGGTTGTGTCAGTGGAACTCATTCAATAAACAACTAAAATGATTATGGTATATCTTAAAACTGCATTTGAAGTAACGTATAAGAATTTGTTCAAAGTTTATTAAGACAAATGACTTCCTAATAATTCAATCAATGATTGGATAGACCATTTTAGTGAAGGAAGGCAGATGGTTGAATATGATACTTGTTATGTTGCCCGGTGAAAGCAAGTTTGAAAAGGGTTTTTTTTTTTAAATTAAGCAATATGCTATCAAAGGTCTCCAATTTACACTTTGAAAAATACTTGAATATTTCAACAATTATATAACTATAAAATACCTAAGACATCGTTTACTCTTGATCAACCCCCCCCCCCCCCAGTATACTCTGTCAAATAAACATTTACAATTTTCATTACATCGGAGCAACATTTGAAAAGGAATAAAATCATTCAGAGTGGGTTAGGAGATTTAATGAATAATTTTTTTCTATTTGCCCGTTTTGTTAAAATTACAATTTTACAGAGTAAAGAAAAAAATCAACACAATTAAATATTTTATAACATCTTTAAAAAGACGTTTGCTGGACCTCCCAACTCACGGAAAATTATTGGGTCCGTATTTATGGTGAGAAAAAAATTCCTTAAAATTCAAACATATTTGTTGACGGAAGAAAAAAAATCCTGTTATTGGATGTAAAATAAAATTGAGTCGGGCCATTTTTAGGCAGTAGATCGGGAGAGAGGGCAACCAAATATATTTACAACAAATGGTCTTATAAGGCTAGTACATGTTCCATCACATACTTAGTAATGCAAAATTTTTTAATCTTTGGCACTATTTTGAAAAAAAGAACATAGGATTTTTGGAGGGGGGAGGGGTAGTCTCTCATTTTTTTGCGATGATAGATAGACATTGCATATGCAATGGACCTTTGTTTGCAAACATTGTGATTGCTTCTAAATTAAAAAAAACAACTCTTTATATTTTATCAAGCTTCGTATGTTCAATGATCGAGAGCTTACAACGTAGTCAACATAATGAGACATGATGCGTTTTTATGTCCAAACATTACTCCATACGATGTGTTGGTCATTGCAAACAATCAAGCTATTTATGTGAGGTGCCTGAAGGAAATCCTTTAACTGCCTATTTTTTCTATCTAACTGCTAAACAAAATAGACATATGTACCAACTTTTCGAATGTAAGACATGTAATTGCAATTTGTTTTTCATGCACCGCATATTGTTTAACATTTTCAAATTAAATGCTAAGCATCCTCCTTGCAGTGCCCCATTTCAAAATAACTTCTATTGCCACAGAAAAAAAGACCCGACGTAAACACATATGTTTAGGGCATTTTTTAGCTTTTTCTTGAGTTTTAAAGAAACCAACAAATTATCAAGACTTGTTCCACGAAAAATTAAATATAATCATGGTTATAAACGCATCTATCCACAGCAGATATATGCACATGTCAAGCACGTGCTCAGTGTATTAATATTTACTAGGAAACTCGAGCTGTGAACAGAACAGTTTTTCCCGATTTGCTGGAGTGGGGTTAAAATCGCGTTTTTTCATTAATCAGACGAAGCGATGCAACAAATAAAAGTAGTAAGTAATATTACCTAATGATTATTACTAAGTAATTTCTTGTCTTGATGTTTTTATGGTCGCATTTATTCTAAAATCAATGTTATCCGAACTCTGTGCGACAGAGGAATGGCGGACGAAATAAACACATGGTCTCAGGAAGACACACATATGAAAAATCAAATTTTCAAGAATTCTAGATAATGACGAGAAAAAAGCGAAACAAATGGTTGTAGCCATATTATCAATGAATCAAACTAACACCATTTTCAATGCATTTTTCATCTCGTGAATGCTGTAGCTGCGCAGTTCTACAATGATTAATTTCCTCCTAATTAAAACAAAATAAACTTAATTATTTACTAATTTTGGTCTCTAACAGTAGGTAACTAGTGCATTAACACTTTGAGTAACTTTGGGCTAGTTTAGACGAGTATTTAGCGCATTCTTGGCATTTCTTATTTCACACCAGACTAGATCCAATTGGCTTGTACATCCCCCTTAAATGTAATGTTATATTTTGCATTGTCTTGTTAAAAGATGCTTTCGAACAATAAGATCCATCAGGCTTTTAAGTGTTTATTAGCATTTATGTGATTGATATTTAATATTTCAAATTAATAATTAAAAAAAAATTATCAACTTGTAATTTACGGGGTATTTCTTAAATCAAAAGCAATATTTGCGTTAAAATAGCTAAAACGCTACCTGAACTATGCTGGGTTATTTTAGCTACATAACAAAATATATTGATTGTACTGGACATGACATTTTTTCTAAATATGACAGTCACCATTTTACTGGTTTCCTCTCAAGATTCATTGCTGAAAATGTTCAGGATGTTAAAAAATTAACAACACTAGTATTTAGTGTGTTCCTATTCCTCTTAATTGAAAAAGTTCTTTGGCATCTGTATGGGATTGATCAGCACCTTGGCACTATCAAATAGTTGTAAAACAGCATTTACAAGGGTTGTTAGGAAACTTCTACCTTGTGTCAGAGAATATTTGGATACACTGGCACCATATTTTCATTTTTCATTTTGTTTTTTGTTCTGAAATGCTGTAGCAAAATTAGAATGGATATAAGGAGACTCACTTTTATGAAGAAAAGCTTAAAAAAATGATTAAAATTGGTTGAAATACAGTCCTAACTTCTTTTTTCAATCTCCATAGGTGTCCCCCTCTCAAAAATATTTAAAAACCCAAGAACAAAAAACAGATATCCAAGAATTCATCTTAGATTGCGGGAAGGGGGTGTCAAGATTATTTCAAGAAAATTCGTTTGGACTCGTATCTCATCAGATACTGTCAATGGTAGGATATTAGGATATTGTAAATAATAAAATAATAGAATACTGATCTGCCCATCTATATTCAATAAAGATTTTTTTAACTTTCCTCAACAAAGTTTAGGGAGCATATGTGAAGGTTTCAGATGCTGCAATTTCAGCTATGGAATACTCAGGTTAATGTTTTTGGAGCAGGGTAACATTTTTGGTGTAGGTCTCATTTCCAAGTAAATATAAGCCCCATTATGACCAAACTTGCATGGATAGTAAGATTTCATTTTAAGTACTTAAATTCTATGCCCTATATTGATTAGACATACATGAAAGATATTTCTAGTGTGTTTCATCGTACCAGTCAAGGTTTCATGCAGATTCTGCAATTTCAGCTATGGAAAACTCAGGTTAATGTTTTGGAGCAGGTTAACATTTTAGGTGTAGGTCTCATTTCAAAGTAACTATAAGCCCTATGTTGACCAATCTTGCATGGATGATACATCTTAGGTGGCACAATACCAGGCTTGCTTCGAATACTAAATATGACCTACTCTTTCCAGATGAGTGAACAGGTTCGTGTTTTTGGTGCAGGTCTGATTTTTAAGTAACTTTGGCCCTATTATGATCAAACGTGCATTGATGATACATATAAGGATGCATACACTCTGCTTTCTTTCAGATGCTGAATCTGACCCATATTTCCAGATGAATAAACAGGTTTAAGTTATTTCCAAGTAGCTATGACCCTTTAATGACCAAAATTACATATAATGATGCATACTATAAGGCTTGCTTCGGATGCTGAATCTGACCTACATCTTTGGATGAATGAAAAGGTAAGATTTTATACAGGTTTCATTTCCAAGTAATTTTGAGACATATGTTGAGCAAACTTTTATGGATGATACATCTAAGGATGCACAATAATGGACTGCTTCGGATGCTGAACTTGACACTTAATATGGACCATGCAGGTTAAGGTATGGGTATTGGTTGTTCGCCAAGTAACTATAAGGCCTATATCAACTAAACTTGCACACATGATGCATCAAGGGATGAAAATCTCAAATTGGCTTCAGATTCTGAATTTGAATTACATTTTCTTGATAGGTGACTAGTTTGAAGTTTATGGATAGGTCTATTCCAAAGTAACTGCAAGCCCTATGAGATCGAAATTGCATAAATTTTGGATGTTCACTTCTCAGAATGTTTGTTAATTGTGTGACTTAGGCTTATCTAAAGACAACATTTGTTGAGATGATCTCTGTAATCTCTGATTACCTATGTTTGTCTTTTATACCATTTAGAATGAAGTGCAACCATGCCACCATTTTGATAATTTATTTCCTTTATAGTCAGGGTTACACCCCATATAGATCCTCAGACCAGGAAATGGTGGGATTCCACGCTCAAGATTGCATCGACTTCCTGGCTTTACCCAGTAAACAGAGCGGTGAGGAAAAATACGAAGAAGAGAGTGAACAATATGGCCTCAATAAGTGTGCTTGTTATCATTAGGTAACCTTTTCATTATGAACCTTATGCTTTAATCTGAGCAGACAGTTGTACAACCGTCTGTAAAATTTTTGATCTCCCCAGAATCAAGGGGCGAATATGAACCAAAGTTTTAATAAAGCATTCTCAAGTGGAAAAAAAATATTTAAAGTAATGCGCTTCTACAAGTGGAAAGAATTTAAAATTATTGAAAATTTTGTGGCATCTTTTAAAAATTATTAATTTCAAAAATTGTTAGAATTTTATTTTTTGAAAACATCAAATGTTGTAGCAGATAAGGTGCTTTAACCCGTGAATTAATAAAGAAAAGTATAACTTTAAGGGTGTTGAAAAAGAGTAGGTATCACATAACAAAATAAAAAAGGAATTTCAGAGTAAAAATTAAATTAAGTGATTGGAAATACATAGAATACAGCCTTTTGCAATGCTTACCGCCTGTTTGGGGTTGTTTTATATAAACTTTTTTGTGACTTCTAAATCATGTTTGATAGTCATAAATACCCTGATACAAGAATATCACATTTTCTCCTCATAATGTACCTTTTTGTTAACCAATCTTTGTTGTATGATTACAAATTTATTTTTATCTGATTCAGTAAAATCGATGTTTTACTTTTCACTAATGATGTTAATTTAAAAAAATATAAAGTGGATGAAATATTTGTTTTACATGAAGGAGTAAGGTTAAAAGAATAATTTCATGGACTAAAACTGTATATAACAAGATGTGTTTGTGAAACACTGATGCCCCCGTATGGCAACATAGCAAAGATTAAAATTTCTTTAATGCAAATGCAATATATTGGTACGAAAAATAGAGTATTCTCATTCGAAACACAAGTGGGAAATATGAAAGTAGGCCAAGGATATTTTTTTTTCATAAGTACACAAATTTTCAAGGATAAGGTCATTGGTATCCAATGAAAGGTCTTGCCACAAAAAATACATATGTTAAATTATGGAAGCTCTAACCCTTACCGGTCAGAAGTTATGGCCAAGGTAAAAATTTTAAAAAATAGGTCAAAATCCAAGGTCAAGGTCGAAGATCTTGCTCCATTGTATCAAATTAAAGGTCTTGTCAAAAGGATTGAATATCAAAAGTATGAATCCACTAGCCTTATCCCTTGAAAAGGTATGATCAGTGTTTTATTAAAAGTAGGTCAATCTCCAAGGTTAAGGTCAAAGATTCAAAGTCGTTGGTATATAATAAAAGATCTTCTTAAAAGGATAATAAAAGTGAAGAATGAGATCACTAGCCCTTAGCGTTTAAAAGTTATGGCCAAGTTTAAATTTTTTTCATAAGTACAAAATCTCCAAGGTCAAGGTCAAAAGGTAATTGATATTCAATGAAAGGTCTTGCCACATAGAATACATATATAAAGTATCGAAGTCCTAGCCCTGACCGTTCAAAAGTTATGACCAAGGTTATTTTTTTTATAAAGTAAGTCAAACTCCAAAGTATGAAAGTCCTATTCCTAACTGTTCAAAAGTTATGGCCAAGTTAAAAGTTTTTTTTACAGTCATGTATGCAAATCTCCAAGGTTCAGGTCAAAAGCTCAAGGTTGTAGGTCTTTCCACAAAGAATACATATGTTAAGTATAAATGTCGTGGTTACTACTGTTGAAAAGATATGGCCAAAATAAAAGTTTGGAATTTTTGTGTTAAAGTGGGTCAAAATTCGAGGTCAAGGTCAAAAAGTCAAATTTGATGGTACCCAAAGAAAAGTCTTGCCTCAAGGAATACACAAGTGAAATATGAAAGTCATAGCTCTACTAAATCAAAAGTTATGGCCAAGGTTCAAGTTTTTGCAGACAGACAGACAGACATTATTGATTGCGTTAATTTTTACATGCTCATATATTCAATGTCTTGTTTTTGTTTACATTTTTAATGAATGAAGTATTTACATATATTTAATTTTCTTCACTTTACCACCGTTACAGTAAGCCACGAAGAGGTTGTCTCTGGTATCTACACATATACCCCATGGATGCTGTAGACCACAGTTATCAATGTAACGGAGGCATTATCTGTCCTGATCTATTATATGGATAAAGTGGTTGATACAGTCTGCTGTCAGGATTTGACTCTGGCTGTCTGTTGTGATGCAGAATGATCTCTCGATAGTAGATGGATGGCCGGTGTATCTAAATCGAAGATTTCCTGCTTTATTAACCACAACTACTGCACCTGCCACGCAGTCAGCCACACAGATATCAATGTTCCTATTCTCACGGATGTATTTATAGTAACCAGATGAAAACAGAGGTTTACCTTCACTATCAAACTGAATGGTTTGTTTTTCTTTGGAACCAGAGTAACGGACAACTTTTGATTGTTTTCCATCACCACTAAGCATGGTAACCAGGAGGTCATCAGAGGAGGTACTACAGACATAGAGAGGTCTCCACCCATGTAGTCTGATCAATTCCTGAATCTGGTCATTCTTCATTATGTTAACAGTTCTTGTATCAGGGTCAGTATAAACTAGGCCTCCACTCCTTGTCACTGCTATGTCACGTGGTATGCTTCTTGACTTGGTTTGAATTGACTTTAGTAGTTCATCCTGAAGGTTGTAGAGTTTCATGATGTTGTTTAATCCACATGTCCAGATTTCTTCATCAATGAGACAGGTAACACTGTGTAGATATTTATACCCAGTGTCTATGGTGGTGATGAGCTTTGGTTCATCAAGCAGTGGTTTGACTGGAGAACAGGATATAGCTTCTGGTGTCTTCATTGTGAAGCTTTGTTCATCTGTTGTAATGGATAATGATGAAAGTGAACCGAACATTTGATGGAGCTGTGCCGTGGTGATCTGATGAGGAGAGAAACTTGGTAATGAAACGTTGAATTTAGGGGGTAAACTTCTGAATTCAGAATTCTTGGATTTGTACGCAACGGTTAGGGTGATATCAATAGAGTCCAGTATTTTCTTCAGATCAAGAATGCTCTGTTTTACATCAGAAATAATTTGTTTGATTTCATTTTCCTGTTTATCTAGAATAGCGAGGTGTTTAGTTTTCATCTCATCTATTTCAGATTTCTTTTTGTTAACAATGACATTAATTTTTCGGTGCCAGTCCTCTCCTTGTTTGGTGACAGCTTTTGTCAGTTTCCCATAATGTGTTTCAAAGTTTAGTTTTTCAGAGTTTAGATCTATTGAAATTTCTTCGTATGTAGGATAGATTTTTTGATCTAATTCTTGTAAGTCATTTTCTAAATCTTGTTTTCTGTAGAATATCGGTAATTGTATGTCCTTTATATTTACCAGACGAGATGCAGGTAGAGCAGACAGGAACGTCACATTTCTCACAGTAAAGTTCACAATGTTTCTGGGTGTGGTTTTTACATTTTGGGTAGTTAGTGTTAGGAGTAGGAGTTCGGTGTTTGTATGGTACAACGTTGTGTCTTTTAGATGAATCAGAGAGATGTTTTCCAACACAGACTATACAGAGGTTTACATGACAAAATTCACAATGATTCTGTAATGCATCTCTTTGACACAGGTCACAGAGGAGGACGTCTTGGGCATAATAACGGGGATCCATTGCAGTCTTCTTCTCACATTCAAGGATACGTGATGCTGTGAAAAAAATTTAACTTGTAAAGTTCAAATATTTAATTTTGGGATTTTATATGTTCTGTGCAAGCTGAAATGAAATAATTAATAGGTAGGTAGACAGTATAGAAAGATTATGTGATAAGAAAATATGTGTAATGATAATAGTAAATCGGTGCTAAACATGTACGAAATGTTCTCAAGGATAAAAATCATTCATATTAATTATTAAATTAAAAAAGGGGAATAGGCTAGTCTCAGAATCTGTTTTTGTTGTCATGGGTTCTAAAAGGGTATGTTTTTTTAGGATCATAGTTTTAAATTTGAAAATTCACAAGATGGTTATATCTGTAATTGAAAGAAATTTTCTATAAGCAATGTTAAGGGTAAAGTATTACATTTTTATACATGTATGTTTGAGTAAGTCACCTGCATATGTATAAATGTATTCCGGAATTATTGCATCTTTTCTTAGTAGTTTTGGTTTTGTTTTTATTTTGAAAACCAGAAAGCGGGAAAAAAACAAAGCCCATGCTGTATTCACATCAATGAATCATTAAAGATAATAGACATGTAAACAAACACCTTATAGCTCATTGCCAACTGACAGGTAATTGATTTTTGTTTGATTATTATTGATTTTGCTAGACGCAATAGGTACTCGAGCTCCATTTTTGTACTTTCGGTTTGTGAATGTAAACATGCTGTTTACAGGGGTTGTGAACATGTGCCACAAAGTATTACCAGTTGTTGTTTTGACTTTTTTACATTGAGAAATCCTTACAGTGTTGCATAATATCCATGTAGGTTTGTAGAATTGTTTATCTCGATAAGTATATTATATGCATGTTGGTGTTTACCTATTTCTGTATCATGCAACATATTTGACCCAGTTTTGGGTACTTTTATCTTCGAGGTGTATATAAATGCACTATTGTTTACAATTTATATTAACAAGAGAATATTTTGTACAAGTGCACGGCAGGAATGCACATCAGTATTAAAGTCAAAGACAAATCTATTAGTTTGTGCAAATGTATGGAACGCAGATCTAGTCATAACAGAGTTATGTTTAAATGAATGTTTTGATAAAGTAAACTTCATGTTAAATTAGGACAGGTTTATGAAAATGTTCTACATTCATGTCTTTTGATTTACATACGTTGTGATGTTAAATACATACAACTATGTTGTGGCTAATCCGTAAGTTCGGGTCATTTAGACATGTGATGGCCACTTTATGATACAAGTTATACAGGTAGTTCACTGCTCAGGATAATTCTTAATGAAATTTGTGGTTAGTGAAACAGATAAAAATATTATTGTACAATTTATTATGAAATTGTGTTCAAAGAAGATATTTGTACATTGTACATTGTACATTTTACTAAATGTATTCTTGTTTTATGTTGAAGATTGTTTTTACCACCTTCTTTTGGCTAGTAAATAAATACCATAAACCAACTGGAATTGTCGTTTTGTCCTACTTGGTCACATGTGTGACCTCAAAACCCTGAAACCATCACCGTACATGTCATATCCGTTAGTGTATCCCTTCTTTTTTTAGCTCACCTGAGCCAAAGGCTCAAGTGAGCTCTTCTTATCAAAATTTGTCCGTTGTCTGTTGTCATCGTTGTAAACTTTTCACATTTTCATCTTCTTCTAAAGAACCACTGGGCCAATTTCAACCAAACTTGCTACAAAGTATCCTTGGGTAAAGGGGATTTAAGTTTGTTCAAATGAAGAGTCACACCCTTTTCCAAGGGGAGATAATTATGAATTAGAGAAAAATTAATGGCATTTTAAAAAAAATCTTCTCAAGAACCACTGGTTCAGAAAAGATGAACCTCATGTGGAATCATCCTCAAATAGTGTAGATTCAAGTTTGTTCAAATCATGACACCCGGGGCTAGATTGGGGCCAAAATGGCCGATCAAAGTTTTACATAGAAATATATGGGAAAAATCTATAAAAATCTTCTCGTGAACCATTGAGACAGGAAAGATGAAACTCATGTGAAATTATCCTCAAGTAGTATAGATTTAGGTTTATTCAAATCATGACCCCTAGGAGTATGGTGAGGCCAAAATGACCAATCAAAGTTTTATACAGGAATATACAGGGAAACCTTTTAAAATCCTTTTTCAAGTTTTGCGAATCCATGCTTAGTGATATTTATATTGAATCATCCCCAGGCAGTGTAGATTCTAGTTCTAGATTCAAACCATGACCCCCTGGGAGGTTAAAATTCAAGCCCCCCCCCAAAATCAGTAAACTTTCAGTTCTGATCATATATGTGCTTTTTCCTAGTAAATTGCTTAGGTGAGCGATGTGGCCCCTGGGCCTCTTGTTATCTCTACCGGTCAGAGACAAGAGTTTATCCAAAAGTAATGTGTCCACCATCCGTCCGTTTGTCTGTCTATCTGTAAACCATTTTTTCAAATTGCTTACCCCTCCTACAGTTTTGATCTGATTTCGATATAACTTGACACTGAAGTAGAGTACACTAAGATACTTGAAATAAAGCATCTGGTGTTGGTTTCATTGAAGGGTGTTGCCATGGTTACTATAAATGGATTTTTCTGTGAAAATCTTTGAAAACCCTTTTCATTCTACAGCTTTGATTTCAATGTAAGATCTTAAGGAGGAATGCCACACCAACTTTTTATTTTATAGATCTCTGAGTCATCCTTTTTAAAAAATTGTTTCAGCAATGAAAGGCCGACATTAGCTCTCAATTATATTATATGAATTTTTTTGTATTTTTTCAAAGAAAATGAAAAGAAAAATGTTTACGTCTAAATTAGATGCTTTGTAAATGAATGCCTCACATGAATACCTAATAAAATATGTAAAGAAAAGTCGTAAAGATATAAAAAAAAGTTTTAAATAAAAAAAATAATTATGAAAAAAATCACAATTTGTGAATTTTTTTTGAGCTTGTGGTTAAAATCTTCTTAAAACCAGTCACAGCTGGGGAAAACATTTTCATTAATCATATTTATAAAAGAAATTGAAATGAAATGGCCTTATTTTAGAGAAATTATTTTTATTTAATTTTGGCCAATGCCGATCAAAATTAACCGATCCCCACCATAATTGTACAGTTATTGGAAATAAATAATACATTGTATATTCCCAAGAACACTAATCTGATTAGGTGTAATAAGGGTTAACACATTATCGACAATAAAATAGATTTCTTCATTGTAAATACATGAAGAGGCAATAAATTATCATTTTATATATTTTGTGTTGTGATCGGGATCAGTTTAATTTTATCGGGTTACCGGGTAGGTCCAAATATTAAAAAAAAATAATTTTCTCTAAAATTTCTCAATTTCTTTTCAAAATGTGATTGGCAAACATGTTATCCTCAGTTGTGACTAGTTTTTTGAAGTTTTTAATCATAGGTTTAAAAAAATATTCAAAAATAATGGGTTTTATTTTCATAATTTTTTTTTAATAAAAATTAAAAAGTTTTACCAGCCTTTCTTCACATATTTTATTAGATATTCATATGATGCATTCATTTACAGCAAACTTTTAACTCGAAAACAACTTGGATATGAATAATTTTTTCACTTTCTCTGAAAAAATGCAAAAAAAATCATATAAATAAATTATGAGCATTTATCAGCCTTTCAATGCTGAAACCATTGTTTAAAAAGGATGACTCAAAGATCTATAAAATAAAAAGTTGGTGTGGCATTCCACCCAATCTGATTGAAATCAAATTCTTTGATCCGCTCACATAGATCGCTACACAAGGATCTGAAGAAATCCCATTCAGGGTCATCTTCCGGTGACCTTTCTCATAAAAAAATTCATGAGAATTTTGTCCAGTCAGAGAGATCATACTAAAGCGACATTCGGGAAAAAGAATATAGAAGTGAAAGTAGCTGTGGAGAAGATCTTATCGTTTCATACAAAACAAAGAGCTATAAAACAAGACAAAAGCAAGTACTTATGATATTACTGTACAGAAAAGACTGTGGTCCTTCTATTTACAGGCACAGAAACTACGTCAAAATTTTTCTATTCGTGTATCATCGGGCCTTTCCCCTTGTAACTGAATTCCGAGATACTTTCCCATTCTCCAAAGTAACCATTTGATTGGATAATTCAAAGGTCACCAGGAGATGACCCTAAATGGGGTTTCTTCAGATCCCTGTGTAGCGATCTATATGGGCGGATCAAAGGATCTGATTTTATCAGATTGGCATTCCACCGTAATTTGATGAATGGATATCCAAAATTAAAAAATTTCTGTGAAATTCCTTTGAAACACTTCTCCTACAGTTTTAATCTGATTTAAATATAACTTCGCACACAAGTTATTTTTAAAGCAAAACAGTTTGCACTCTAGTTTTGATGTCAGATACGGTTTTTATGAGGTAACAATGGAGATATTCATCCTCACCCATGGTAGTTCATGAGAAAATCAACAAATTTCCAATTTGTAGGGAATTTTTTAAGGACAAATGGAAAAATTTAATTATTATATATTAGGGATGTCAAAGAATATTCGAATATTCGAATATTCATTCGATGAGTTGATATTCGAATATAAATGTGAGATTCGAATATTCGTTTTTCAGTATACAAACATTAAAAAGAGAGAAAAACCTGGCAATTTTTATTAGAAATTGAATCAAGTTTGTACAAAATTAAAAAAAAAACACTCCTCTTGGATTACCTTAAAGGTGTGAAGAGTGTATCTATTAGCCTAAGAGTAATTTATTTATTTGTTTACTTAATTAGTGGTATTATAGTTTCCAGAACTAACAATCAGCTTGTATTGTTGTCAGTACCCAGTTTTACAGTAAAAACACAGATTTCTTGTGTATGTAAATATCATAAAAATCATTATCAGGAAATTATAA